AGCGGATGGGTTGAGTGGGGGCAATAGCGAATGGGTTGAGTGGGGCCAATAGCGAATGGGTTGAGTGGGGCCAATAGCGGATGGGTTGAGTAGGGCCAATAGCGGATGGGTTGAGTAGGGCCAATAGCGGATGGGTTGAGTAGGGCCAATAGCGAATGGGTTGAGTAGGGCCAATAGCGGATGGGTTGAGTAGGGCCAATAGCGAATGGGTTGAGTAGGGCCAATAGCGAATGGGTTGAGTAGGGCCAATAGCGAATGGGTTGAGTGAGGCCAATAGCGAATGGGTTGAGTGAGGCCAATAGCGGATGGGTTGAGTAGGGCCAATAGCGGATGGGTTGAGTAGGGCCAATGGAGGATGGGTTGAGTAGGGCCAATAGCGGATGGGTTGAGTAGGGCCAATAGCGGATGGGTTGAGTAGGGCCAATGGAGGATGGGATTTTTTAGGGCCAATAGCGGATGGTTAAGTATCTAGTTTAAAGATTCTAGAAACAATAAACACCAGATGTGAAGGCGGCTTCATTGATATACAAAACATGGAAACGAACGGATTTTAAATTTGAAGTGGCGGCCTGCATTGGATTGGTACACGTGGTCATTACTGAACACTTACCCAATTGTTTTTACAACTAGGAATGACAGTGAATGTGAATATCGACTTAAATAGTTGTCCTTTAAAATCACACACTGTACCTTTCATCCGTGTCAAAAATATTTACAGTCCTTTCGCTCATATTAGACAACCGGATGACAAGACTCACCCACATGTAATACGCACCCTGGGTGCGGTGTATGAAAAACTTTGTATAAGACGCGTCTTATTGTCAAGGGTATGAGAATCACTGTTGCTTCGTTTGGGGTAACAGTAAATTTTTGGTATAGAAATTTTTTTTAATGTGGAGAGTATATGTGTAGCTGTATCTATTATGTTAAGGGTTTTGTGACGTATTTGTGTAAAGGGAAAGGACGTGTTAGTTTTCTTGTTGTTATGGTGGATACGAGTCCGTGCAGTGGGGTTGAAGGTTATCCACGGTTAAACTTATGTGTTGCTCAGTGTTTTAAAAGGAACGTCTTGACTATTTTTCATAACTTAATATAACATCAATAGTTACAAGATTTGTTAAATTGTCAAGGTGAAAAAAACTCATAGCGTGAACTCAACTACAAAGTATTGTGGTGAATGTCTGTGATAATGTGAGAGTCAAGACCTAACAAGTAGTCTTCTGATATTAAGATTAGATGACTATTAATATTGGAGAGCTTACATCTCGACACTATTATACGCAAAAATACAGTAATTAATACAGTTAAATATTGACCATTAAATGACGTACATTTTGTTAAAAACGACCTGTAGATAATAATAAATTATTTACCCTAATAATCTGTTTGCAATAACCTTTCAACAATGACCTATAACAATATATTATGTCTCATAACCAAATTTGAAATTCTCTTTAAAAAAAAAAATGAACAATACTTTTTTAACGCATATCTATCACAATGCCAAATTTACAAATTCCACATTTAAAGTGCTACTTTTTTAGTGCCACATTTACAATGCTAAAATTTCAATGCCAAATTTACATTGCTACATTTACAATGCCATATTTTCACCATGAACTATTTATTGAAAAAAAAAAGCGTTATAATATTTTATATTTATATTATGACCTGTTCAACAAAAATCTATTTAAATATTGATCTATTACACAGTGGTCTATTTTCAAATATTTTTTATTATAATTTGCACAGTGATCTTTTTTCACAATGCCATATTAACATAACACATTATTTAAAGAATAAACATTTTACACGTTAGCTGTACCACATATATTGTATCTGGTGTGGCTGCCTCCTTTTCAAAACGGGCCCTACCCCTACTTAAAATGTTTTATATTAATAGTATTGAGTGAAAAAAAAAGAAAAGCTGTCAGGCTGCGATCGTCATGCGTGACGGTTGAACTAAGGTGAGAAATGATTTAGTTTTTTCATTCTATTGGATTAATCAATGAAGAGCCATGGTTATTGAGTAGGAATGCCTGTACGGCTATTGTTAAAGGTTGGCAGGAAGGGTGTGGGACTGTAGAACAGGACTATTGTTTTAAGAAAATAAGATGTTAACTCTTTTTTTTTTTTGGTAGCATTCGGACCCACGGGGTAATTTCTCGAAATACCCAGACCCGGTCTAAAAAAAAACTGCACCTGGTTAAACCCTTCTACACACCATCGGTGTTAAATCATTTTCCCGTGCTAACTTATCGCCTGGCTCCTCCACAGGCACAATCCCGGAGGTCAACCACGGGAGGACCTATACCTTGATCGTTAGATGCAAAGACGGTGGATCGCCGCAGAGGACGGCCGAAGGCACCGTCGTCCTGACCTACCAGACCACCACCACCACAAGTACCACCACCACCACCACACCCACCCCAACCACAACGCCCGTGACCACCACTTCCACGAGGGCACCCAGCCACAATCCTTTCGACTACGACGCGTTTGTGGCCGTGTTCGCTCTCCTTATGTTGGGGCTGGCAGGCGGGCTCCTGGCTGGGGCGTACTTCCTGTGGAGATTCTGCGCGGCGGCCGAGGGAAGTTCATTTGGCAACAACTTCTGCTGTACGAAGTGAGTGTCCTTTTACACAAAACGTCTACACGTGTCACACCATTGTTTAATGATCTTTCACACGATAAAGCTTTTCGTTATTGATTACTAATACATTGTTGAAACTATTCTCACAATGAACATTTAGATATACATGGTCTTTGTTTCTAAACCAGTAGTTCGAAACCAGTGGCTCTTAACCTGGGTTCGATCGAACCCCAGGGGTTCGGTGAGTCAGTCTCAGGGGTTGGGGGAGGTCCAAAAAAAAATCTGAAAAAAAAAAAAATATTTTTTTTCCTATTAAGAAGGGTTCGGTGAATGCACATATGAAATTTGAGGGGTTCGGTACCTCCAAAAAGGTTAAGAGCCACTGTTCTAAACCGAGATTGAGAAAGCGTCATTGATATCTGGGAATACTAAAGTTTTTCAATTTTAAATACTTTTTCTTTCTTATATTTTGGTTTTCTGCTGATGAAGGCATTTAGCTGTATTGTTTTGTCTCGTCCTGTTTGGATTAAACATTTTGCGTCCACCCACTGTCTTTCCCTTCTTCTGACCCTTGTTTTTGTTAGGGACTTGTGCCCATTCTTAATCGTTATGTTATTTCAGGTAGGCCTATAGGTAGGATGTCATATAGTATGTATATTTAATGTATGAATATTTTTTGTTGTTGTAATGATTGAGGCATTTGCGGAAAGGTTTAAATGTGCATTTTTGTGTAACAAAACTTAGAGCTTAAAAAATATTTGTTTCACTTACACAAATTGTTTGTGTTTTATTAATCTACTTAAAAGCTTTACGGCAGTACATCAATACTGTCATGTACCCATATCGCCCTTAAAAGTTGTTGTCTTTTTTTCAAGCCTCAACATAAATGGTCCCACTATTGATTTATGTCACACTGTTTTATCGATTTCCTTTATAAATTACCGGTTTTCGCTCTTCACCAGTCTTCGGTTCTGTAATGCGGACAAATATCTCAGAACTGTAAACTCTTATTTCCATTACAATGGCTTTCCTCTGGTTACTAGGCAACGTGTAAACAGCGGCATGATTTCCTCAAAAGTATTAGAGGAAAAAAAAACACACTAGGGAACAAATAAATCTTTAAAAAAATTCCTGTTCTTTTTTTTCAGGCCTAAAGTGGAACCAGATGATTAGTGAGTATTGGTTACAAATTATGGTTTCATTTTAACACTCTATTAATATTATCGAAGTTTGAATCGTTAACTTATATTTATGTTTAAAAAGATATTTAGATTTGAGTTTTAGTGATAAACTCGACATTTCAATACATTGATTTGCAAACTATATAATAATCTTTAAAAAAGCTCTATGCACATGATTTGAATCAACCGCTTTTCAACAGCGTTGTTGCTGTTCGCTCACCGCATGCGAAGATGACCCATTCTATGTTACCCGATGAGTACGCAGTGGCTGCCAGTTCTATCTGCGCCGGGAAATCTTTCCCACACATGTGGCACACGTTTTTGTTTTGATTCTGCTTTTCCTTTCTTTGAGGTCGCTTTGGTTGTGAGCTGCACGCTTATACTCTTGATGACTTTGCTCCAACAGTGAGTCTGCCACACCAAGCTTGCACAACCCATGGCAGGTGACTCTCATGAACCAATATCAATGATTTAAGTGAAGCTTCCAGACAGTCCTTGAAACGTTTTTTTTTCTGCCCACTAACTGAACGTTTCCCACTGGAGAGTTCACCGAACCATAATCGTTTGGAAAGTCTGCGGTCTGGTATTCTTGCGACATACCCTGCCCATCTGACCTGTCCTTTTTGTAGGAGCGTGTGGATGTTGATACAATCTGCCCGTTGTAGAACCTAAGGGGCTCTCGTCCTGCCATCGTATGCAAAGAAAGTTTACGTGGGCAGCATATGTGTAGATGGTTTAGTTGTCTATCAACATTAATCCTGCTCTCACATGCTACACCATTCCTCCCCTGTTTTACATTCACTTACATGATATACGTACTGCCACCAGTTATGACTCCTCTCAACTGTTATTCCTCAATGAACCTGTTATTCCTGCTCACACCTGTTGTATCTCCTCTGACCCGTCATACCTCCTCTCACCTGTTCTACATCCTCTCACCAGTTATTCATTCTCTCTCCTGTTACACCTTCCCTCACCTGTTATGCTGCCTGTCACCTCCACAGTTTCACGTACGAGGTCCGAACAAATAATGACTACCGCGACTCATATTGGAAGACAGGTAAGATGTGCAAATCTTCACGTTACAGTCATTGATTTGTCTGCAGCAGTGTGGTTAGAGGTGCTGGGGTGGGGGTTAGATTGGCATCAAGTTGTAGGACAAGAAAAAAAATAACATCTTATATTATAACGAAATAGAAATACATTAAAGAAATGAATGTTTCGGCAACATGTCTTCTGCAGCCATAAAAAATGAGTTAAATATATAAAGAAAGAAAAATGAAAAATGAACTAATTTAGAAGTGTTATTGAAATATTGCTTGGGCAAAGAAATTGACAAATTTAAAAATCTATTATTTCGATATAAACAGGAACTCGGGAAGATAACGTGTAGTCAAATAAAATAAAATAAAGTGTATTTGTCATGTGTTGTCATCACAGCCAGGACAAAGATAACATGCACATATGGAAAAGCCATAATTTAGATACATTCTTCCCTTAACAAGTATGGTTTAATATACATTATTTTCATGAAAAATTATCATATGTGCACCATCTTATCGCCCTGATTGTTAGTGTTAAGAAAATGTGGATTTAACTTTTCTACAAACATACCAAAACTGCATAAGTAAATCCAGAGGATTAAATCGCAATTTATGGACACATTAGTAGAGACCTTGGGGTTACTGTTGTTCTGAAGTGAGTCTAAGTGATTATTACGTCATTATTGTGCATGTGGGACTAGCCCACCTTTGTGTTAATCTTTTAAGAAGAAAAAAAAATATTATATTTACAATAATTTAAGACAGACACTTTTTTTTATAATTGATCTATAAGCTTAAACTTACTACCGCTACAGTCACGCAAATCAAGACATATCAACACTGTTCTCGACAGTCATACGCACAACATAAATGAGCCCTCAAACAGTTCCAACCACGGCTGTATTGCTATCACGTGATCTACCATTCCCCTTTCTTCCAGGGGATCATTACGAAAGTGGGAACGGCTACAACGCGTCTGGTGACTCCTATTCCAGAGCGATTGACGGTGGAGTTAGACGCCTGGCGCTACCGGCCCCTCCAGCCAGGTCCAATCTGGCATTTTGATGACGTCTTAAGATGATCTTGGATGAAAGATTTCAAGTATCCTCCATGGGACACAAATATTCTCTACACATCTTTATTTTTAACTGTCTGGCCAAAATATATTTTTCAATATTATGAGGCTGCCTCAGTCATAACGTGTTTAAACGACCAAAATGACAAAACAATCCTAACTCCAAAAGGGCTAAGAAATTCACTTTATGGAAAAGTGACAATACAATGAAAATAACATCTTGTTGAAATGGATGTTCAAGCATCTGTTTAATTTATAACACAAATTTCTGGTTTAATGTAGTTTTTTTTTCTAAATTGATAAGAACCATGTTTGTTTGAGCACAAACGATTTAGTTTTGAAACTTTGTAAAGTATTTCATTCAAATGAGTTTTGTTGTCAGTTGTAAAGTAATGGTCTTAAAATAATCAGGAGTTTTAAAATTCCATAAACCTTAAATAAAAGAGTGTAATTCGATTTCATATAATCTTTGTATTAAAATTCTTTGAACAATTACCATTTTGTATGTCTTGACTACCCACTTAACGACAATTTCAGTCACATCTGATTATATTGGACTTGAACTATAGAATACTTTTTTAAACCCCCGTTTTACCCCAAAAAAAAACAAAATAATTAAAAAAAAAATAAAAAATAAAAAAAAAAAAAAAAAAAAAAAAAAATAAATAAAAAATTATAAGATGTTCATTTTTAAAAAAAATGAATCTGTGCCGTAAAATGTTGTGACATTTGGCCTCGACTTGAAGTAAAAAGAACTGTGAAAGACGACAACACACCTTGTCTGTTACAGAGAGAAATCTATGATTTAATGTAATCTAAATTAAATTTGTAGTTAGATTTTGCTAAACGTTCAGACAGAGTGACCCAATGGTTCTTGCAGTGTGACCTCATTAGTGCCCGTAAAGTGACCCAATTGTGCATGCATTGTAAAACAATGATGCCCGGAGAGTGACCAAATTGTGCACACAGCGTGACTCCATGGTGCCCATAGCGTGACCAATTGTTCCCATAGAGTGACCTAATTGTGCCCACAGAGTGACCCAATTGTGCCCATTGAGTGACCCAATTGTGCCTTATAGTGACCAAATTGTGCGCATAGCATCACCAAATTGTGCCCACAGAGTGACCCAATTGTGCCCATAGAGTGACCCAATTGTGCCCATAGAGTGAACCAATTGTGCCCATAGAGTGACCCAATTGTGCCCATAGAGTGACCCAATTGTGCCCAAAGAGTGACCCAATTATGCCCAAACCCAATTGTGCCCTAGAGTGACCCAATTGTGCCCATAGCATTACCCAATTGTGCCCACAGAGGGACCCAATTGTGCCCATAGAGTGACCCAATTGTGCCCATAGAGTGAACCAATTGTGCCCATAGGGTGACCCAATTGTGCCCATAGAGTGACCCAATTGTGCCCATAGAGTGAGCCAATTTTACCCATAAAGTGAGTCAATTGTGCCCATAGAGTGACCCAATTGTGCCCATAGAGTGAGCCAATTGTGCCCATAGAGTGACCTAATTATGCCCATAGAGTGACCCAATTGTGCCCATAGAGTGAACCAATTGTGCCCATAGAGTGACCTTATTGTGCCCATAGAGTGATCCAATTGTGCCCATAGAGTGACATAATGATTCCCAGATACCCTACTGTTCGCGAAAAATGTTTGCCCAGGAGGGCAACTTCATATATTTTCTGTAATTTTGTCCCAGATCAAAACCAATGCCGGGGCACTGTCGATAATACAACAACATGATCCATATGACCAACAGCTAAGGCGTAAATGTCCGGATCTTGTGTTTTATAACTTGTAACAAGTGGTGAAACTGTCACTTCAAGATTTCTTAAATCACCTTAACAATGTGGTCCATGACTAACAATCACTGCCTGGTTTGCTGTTGATGGTTTTGACTTTTGTTGTGGGTGGAGGTAAATAACATACATTTATGTAATATAAAAGCATAGCAAAACAAAGAAAAATGTATATTCACACAAACCACCCCCGAAATTTTACATGACAAGCTATGAACAGCAACCAGCAGCATCATTTATCTGCAATATGGGGGATTCAGTCGGAGTAGTAGAGTTGAAAGAGATTTGTTATGAGTGCAGTTTTGGAGGCCTGGGTGGTTGGTACATTGCGGATGTGTAGGGAGAGAGAATTCCATTGTTTTTGGGCGCATAAAAGGAAAGATCGTTCACCATATGTTTTAGTTCGTGTCTTGGGAATGGACAGGATACGGAGGTTATGGGTAAGTAAACACGGATTGGATGATCTTACTTTAAACTGAGAGGAATGGAATTATTTAAAGCAAAGTATAAATTTTATTTTAAAAACTATATTATTGGGTATGTTTAATTTGCCCTATTGTCATCTTACGGAAATCGAGTTTAGAAACAACAAACAAGATTTTAGGAAAAAAAAAAACAATTTGGAAAAGTTGGCGGCAATCACGGGAAAGCTACTCAGGTGTACACAAATTTGGAAGTACCCATGGTCACAATAATGTTGTAAAATTGGGCTGGGATATTTGGCCTGTCTTGAGCCGCAGACGAAGAGACTCTTTCAAGGTCTCTTTCAAGGTCATGAAATCACGCCAGGCATGACACCATCAAGTGTAAAGCATATATATAATCATACCGTCTGGAGATGGTATTTCTATTATTTAGTATCGAAATTAATTATTAAGTAATACATTTTAATTGACAGTTTAGATGCACGATTTTTATGTAAACTTTTAAATTTACATTTGGATGTAAGATTTACTTTTTCAATTTTCATTTACTATTTCCATGTGCTTTTTCGTATGGACAATTTTAAAAGATTGAACAAAATAAGAAAAACAAATTGATGAACACAATGTTTTAGATTTTATTGTGCAGAAGATTACGCTACTTCCTTGATTGTACACTAAGAATCGATAATGTCGCGTTAAACAGTGAACAACTTCCTTGTGGTGATATCATTTATGATGTAAACCTTATAATTTATGATTACACCTATCCTTCCATGCCCATGCATGGTGTCATAAATTTCGATTGTCAATTATGATTTAAAAGTAAACGTTAAAACGTCGAAATTCGATTGATCAGTTGTGGCATTTTTTTTTTTTTTAGAAAGTTAATTCTTGGGATCGATGTCTCTCAAACTAGCGAAAACCGTATCTTCTCCAAACAATTTTTTTTTTTTTGGGATCAAAATCAATGTAAGCCGCAGATCTGTTCTGTCTTGGTAACTCCTGACACCACCACCGGGGCAATTCAAAAGAATGACTTTATTATCTTAGCTCCCCCGCCCCAACCAAGAGTTTGTGATAATTTTATAAGTTGTGTGTTTTTCATTTAGGAATCAGTGAATAGCGTAAGTAGCATTTCGTACACCTTTTGTGATTTTCATCATAAAACAAAACAGCGGGCCTATGGAATATTAAGCAAAAGACCATCAACGAACAAGAATCCACATCCGCAGTCTCCTAAACGGAATCTCTGTTCTACAGCGCACACACGTTGAGATTCCCCGGGGACATGATGTCGAGGTTTATAAAAGTCGTAACATTCGATTCCCCGATTTATTCAAATGGATAACATCAAATTGTCGTTGCCCAAAGGTATTTCACTTTATAACACAACTATAACATACGCGAGTGATATAGGCACTCAGATTTGATGTAGCTTCTGTTTCAGCGTTAGTATTATAGGCACTCAGATTGATGTAGCTTCTGACACAGCGTTAGTATTATAGGCACTCGGATTTTATGTTGCTTCTGTTTCAGTGTTAGCATTATAGGCACTCAGATTGGGTGTAGCTTCTGATAACAACGCTAGCGTTTCACTCTTGAAAATTTCTTTTTACTTTAATCACAATTTTATTTTTGTATTGAAGGAATCTAGCGCAATGTGGCAGACATAAATTATTCATGTTTTAATGAAACAATATTAGGGGTTTAGTGAAGACAGCAAAGACGTAAACTGGTTGTTTGTCAATGTTTACAATTAATTTTCTATTCGTTCTACTATTGGAACAATTTTAGCATGAAATATATTTTTAAAAAAACAATCTTTAATCAAAATTATATACCCAGCCATGCTGAGCCATGTTACATGATTCCAGAAAATATAATTGAAAAATTAAAAGAAAAATAAATAAATCTCAATATAAAATTAAAATAATTATAATTGACATGAAAGTAAAGCGACGGTATTGAAATTAGGTTATGTTCTTGAAAAATATGGATATGTCATTGAAATGTAAATTTATGTTAATGTAAGCGGTGTAACAGAAAAAAACGTATTCACATACGCTTTTTCAATGACATGTTTTATTCATATAACTTGTAATATGAAACGAAACCTATGAGTGATATAGATTTATTCTCCGCCCCCATTACCTAAAATGAATAAATAAATAAGTCCTATATCAGTGGAAAGAGTAACATTATCTCAATTTCATAGTCTCATTATATCAATGTAATAGTCAAATTATCGCATTATAAAAGTCACATTGTCTCAGTCAAATATTCACATGAGCCTAGTTGTATTTTCCATTTTCTCTTTGCCTCTGAACACTATCTAAGTGGAACAGCGACATTATTTCTGTGTAATATTCAAGTTATCTTTGTCAAAAATCACATTATCTTAGTCTCAATGTCACATTGTATCACTGCAATGGTCACGAGTTGTCAATGTCAAGGTCACAAGATCTCATTACAATATTAACTATTATCTCAGTGTAATAGTCACACTATCTCAGTAGTCAATCATTTTCTTCTCTGACTTTTACATTATTTCATTGTCATTGTCAGATAATCTCCTTGTAGAAGTCACATGATCTCAATGTAATTGTCAAATTTTCTTAAGCTAAGAATCACAAATATCAAAGCAATTGTCAAATTATCGTAGTCTAATAGTCAAATAATCTCACCTTAATAAGCGCACTATTACTTTGTAATAGTCTTATTTTTACAGTGTAACAGGCCCTTCTTCGGAGTAGTAACCATATTATTTAAATGTATCACATCTGACACGTAAGAATATTTATGTAAACTATTATTTAAAAAAAAAATATTTCTGTTCTTCAATGTCAAATATGCTTCATAAAAACCTTCGCTTCCAGATTGCGACGAGAATGGAAAAACCAAGTCTCACATTACTCAACATGGTCTTCTGTCTCGGGTTGATGCTTGCTGCCACTAGTAACGCCCAGACGGTAGGCCTTTTCTTTTGTGCAGCGCTCCATTTTAGTCAGGCCAGTCAGAGTATGTAGTTTGGTTAAAAGTTAACAGCTTTCAATGACCGTTGTATGGTTTTAGTCAGTTTTTACGGATCTTTTTACACCCCCCCCCCCACCTTATGAACGTAGATGGACGCTCATATGAACTTATGACAACCCCCACCTCCCCAACGTAGATGTACGCTCATATGAACTTATGACAACCCCCATCTCCCCAACGTAGATGTACGCTCATATGACCTTATGACAACCCCCACCTCCCCAGCGTTTCTATACGCTCAAATGAACGTAATACAACCCTCAAATCCCCAAAGTTTCTATACTTTCCAATGAATTTATTACAACACCCTACCTCCCCAAAGTTTCTATACGCTCCAATGAACGTATTACATAGGGGAGAGACTGCCATCAGGTTAGCACAACAGGTATATTAGTAAAACAAGTACTGTTAAACCTGAAAAAAAAGGAATGCAACAAAACAACGAGACACGAGAATTTATGAATACCGGAGCTGTTACAAAACGAGAAAATGATGTATATATATATATATATATACTGATATCAATATAAAAATTCAATGCGGGAAGCTAGGGTAGGATTGCGGGAAGCTAGAGTAAGATTGCGGGGGTAAGCCTAATCTGTAAAATACAGAGATGGAGCCAAGAATTCAATATCACACCAATAACAATGTCATTTCGGCCAGCTGTATTGACACTTGTCATTCACTTGGATCCACTGATTACGTGGAGTATGAGGATCTGCTGCATTGGGGAACAGCTGGTCTCCAAATTTCACCGCCCAGGCTAAGTAGCCGTATTGGTGACGTCACTTTTGGAGAAGCAAGTTTTTTTTTGTGTGTAAAGCAGAGAAAGTAAATTGAAGGACGACTCAACGACTTCGCTTCGCAACATGGAACGTAAGATGCATGTGTCCTGGAATAGACACTGACATTAAACAGATTGACGCCGAAATTAAGACTGCCGTAATGGACATAGAATTCTCCATACTAAACATTGATATTACCTGCCTTCAAGAGAACCGAGTAGCGGATATTGGTACCATAAAGGAAGCCAGCTACACATTCTATTGGCAGGGGAAACCCGTAGATGAACCGAGGCGGCACAATGTTGGATTTGCCGTAAAAAAAAAATTACTTGCCTGTATTAAACCTCCTTCATTGGGATCGGAGAGGATTCTGCGGATGTCATCATCTGCTGGCAAGGTCAACGTATATTCAAAGTGTATGCTGAGACTCTTCATTCGACTAGAGGTGAGAAAGATTTGTTCTATGAGGCCCTGGCCCAAGAATGATCATGTGTTCCCAAATTAAAAGCATTGTACATTCTGGGAGATTTTAACTCTAGGGTAATAGTTGATCAGGAAGTCTGGTCTTTATTTCTTGGTGATCACGGATAAGGAATGATTAATGACAACGGATAACGTCTGCTGGAGTTGTGCGGCTCCCATGGTCTCTTTGTTACCAACACCTTTTTCAGATGTAACAAAATCCAAAAGGTGGCATGGCGATACCTTTTTTAATAATTATTTTAAATTTTAATAATTGTAAAGCTCTTAGAGCTTTAAGGTAAGCGCTATATAAAAAAATGCCTAAATAAATAAATAAATACCTGCGTTCCCGCCACTGACATCAGTTGGAACCTCGTCACTACTAGGAGCGTGGAGCTAGCCAGTGTACTTCACACCAGCAGCTACCATAGTGCCGACTGTGACACGAACCATTCCCTCGTAGTAAGCAAGATACGACAAATGCTAAAAAAATTTACAAAATGCTAAAAAGAAGTGTCATGACGAATTAACATCCACAACTTAAACAACCTATAAAAAATATAACAATTCTCAAAAGTGTTGCTGAATTACCTTGCTAAATGGTCACCCGATTTCACTATTGACTCTAAGTGGACTCATTTACGCGATGCTGTTTACGATTCAGCCATGTCCGCCAACGGTAAAATGGAGCAATACAAAATTTCTGGTATTGGGCGCATTGGAATTTGATGGAAGCCGTTATCGAGAAAAAGCGAAGAGCCCTAATTGCCTAGCGTGATGCACCTTGTGCTAGTCAAATACAGGCTCCCAGTACTGCAAAAAAAAAAAAAAAATTCCCTGGAGACGGCCCGTCACTGTGCCAACACTTACCGTCTAGACCATTGCAAATCTATACAATTGACTTCTCAAAACAAAGATACAAGAAGCATGTACGAGGGCATCAAGAGGGCATTAGGTCCACACACTTCAAAAATAGCACCACTCAAGTTCAAAACGGGTCAAATTACCCAGAACTTGAACAATCAACTCCGACGTTGGGTAGAGCATTATCTTGAAAAATACTAAACAATGGATGTAGTTACTTAGACCACTCTGTATATTATTCCCGTCTTGTCAATAATGGAAGAACTAAACGAAGAGCCAACTTTACTTGAGCTCGAAAAAGCCATTGATTACCTTGCTGATAGCAGGGCACCAGGAATTTACGGCATTCCATCGGAAAGTCCAAAAAAGGGAAAACCTATCCTACTTCAGCCCTTACATGAGCTCCTGTATCTGTTTTGGGAAACAGGACATATTCCTCAGGACATGAGAGACGCCAACATTGTAACATTGTATAAAAAAAAATTCGACCGAAGTGATTGCAACAGCTAAGGAGGAATTTTGCTCCTTGGGTTAGTTAGACACACTTTAGTCCATTTTGCCTTAAATGATTGCAGAGTCTCGCTAACTGCATCTACCTAGAATCCCAGTTTGGCTTCAGGAGTGGGCGCTCAACACTAGACATGTTATTCTCGTTACGCCAAATGCAGGAGAAATATAGTGAACAGAATATGCCTCTTTAAATTGCTTTCAAAGACCTCGCAAAGCATTTCACTTAAGTCGGAGAGGCCTTTCCAGTATCTTGCAAGGAATACATTGTCCCCCACGACTTCTCACAATCATACAGACATTTCACAAAACATGCACAGCACAGTAACCTTCAATGGTGCTGTCTCTCAGTCATTCCCAGTCAGGAGCGGAGAAAACCAGGTTTGTTTGCTGGTACCAACGCTCTTCTCCATTTTCTTCTCGATGCATTTTTAATTTGAATTCAGGGATTGTGAATATGAAGTATACATTCATACCAGATCTGATGGTAGGCTGTTCAATATCGCCCTTCGTGCAAAGACAATTGTAAAAAGTGCTGATTCTTGAACTGCTGTTGGCTGACGATGTCGCCTTAACATCTCACACAGAAGAAGGTCTTCAGGCACTGGTTAATTGTCTATCACACATGTAAAGCATTTGGATAGTCAATTAGTCTACAATAAACACATGTAATGATGCAAGAAGCAACGTCCCCTCCAATCATATCTATTGAGGGCAATAATCTTTCGGTTATTGGGCATTTCACATACCTTAGATCCAATATTTCTAGTTCTCTCTCCATTGATTAAGAGATAAATATCGGGATCGCAAAAGCATTAGGAACTATGGCTAAACTGAATAAGCGGGCGTAGAATAATCTCAATCTAACTAATAAAAAATAATTATCTATCAGTCATGTGTGCTTAGTACGCTCATACATGGCAGCGAAGTGTGGATAACATATTCCAGTCATGAGAGGTTACTCAACAGCTTCCATCAAAGATGTCTGCGTCGCATTTTACTTATTGGATGGCAGGACAAGGTGCGTAGCACGGAGATCTTGGAAAATGCACAAATGTTTAGCATATTCTCCGCTTTTAGCAAAAGGCATCTTCGAAGGTGAGGTCATGTAAGGAGAATGAAGGAAAGCCATATCATAAAGATGCTGCTTATGGTGAGTTGGCAATGGGACAAGATTTATTAGAGAGCAATGCCTTAGATATATGGACATTTGGAAAAGGAGCATGAGGAAAGCCAATGTTGAAAACAAAGAATGGCAGCTCATTGCCGAACAACGTTCCAGATGGTGAAAAGCAGTGTATGAAGGAGTAAAAAAAATAGGCAGAAGATACGCAAAACGAGGCTCTTGCAACAAAAAGAACAATACTCAAAATCTTACCAGGAATCAATATTCACCTACAAGAAATGCAGTCGAGATTGTCATTCTAGAATTTGCTTAGTGAGACACTCGTTGAAGTAAAGAACTACATAACTATTCCAGCGTCTCGCAAAGACGGAAAAATGCCATATAAACATATTTAGTATCCGAGAGGGCAGCTAATGAATTGTGACAGAAAATAAGAATTGAGAGATTATATAAAGAGGACGGAAAGAAAGAGGAGAAGTTAGTCCACTGCGATAGGTCGTGGTGTGGAAGGGTGGAGCTATGTTCAAGCTGTAAATAGAGACATGAATTCCATACGCATGTAGTGTCAATGTGCCATAGGTCAGGATAAGCTTGCATTCCAAATTCATCGGCCTGAGTTTGTTTGTGCTAGCCACGATCACACACATTAAAAAGTCTGTCTTGCCCTGGTGGTCACTTCTATTGAAGTATTTGGAGACAGGACACGGTTTATCTTGCGTCATGTTACTGAGGTATTCAGTACACCTGTCAGAGAGTCAGCATCCTGTCTCCCCAATGTACGTCATCTGGGAGTGGGGGTAAACAATGGCGTATGCAAAATTCCGGCTAGTACGAAGGAGACCGTCGTGTATTTGAAAACAGCCCTTAGGGAAACATATGCCTTGGTCTGTACGACAAAAGGTCAAGTGTTGTAGCTGCTGCGTCCACTGTGTCCTGTCTCCAAAAACTTTAATATAAGCGACCACCAGTTAGATGACTAGCTTCTCCTCTTTGCTTTCCCTCCCCTTACATAATCTCTCCCCCTCTTACTTTCTGTCACATTTTAAAAATTGTATTCTGCTTTTTCTGTTTGTTCGCTGACGAAGGCTTCCTGCCGACACGTTAGCTGTTTTATTGCGTTCTTTTCATGTTTCAAATTACTTTGTCTTACTAATTACTTTATAATAATCTGGCTAGTCTTACCCTGGATTAATTCGTTTGTTACAACAGAAAATTTCTTACTTTGCTAAATTCACAAGACCTGCGGAAAAAAATTAAATTAATGATTCATAGTCTGTGCCCAGGTGCCACTGCATGAAACTCCTAAACAGTATTATAACTTAAAACAGAGGATAGGCAAAAGACTCTCCTGGATAAAATTGCTTGTCAAAGGGACTTCGAGATTAAAAACAGCGGGAACCACTGATATATAGTAACCATCTCATGTTGATGTTCAGTGCAACAGTTAATTAATCTCTCAGCAATTCAGAATATAGTGTTACATTTTTAAAAATGTACAAAACTTTGCGATGGTTCATTTTCCCAGGATTCAATGACAGCTCCCACAGTTTTAAAGAACTCGGCTCCAATCATCACTATTGGAAATAATAACCGTGGTATGTTGTTTTTTTTTCGTTCATCTATTCCAAGGATCGACAAACTTTTGATAACAATGTGCCAAACTGGCAGTTCTAGTTCATTTATCGTGCAAATAATTTAATAAGTGCATCTTAAAAATTGTGTCATTATGTAGTCATATTTAACGTTATCTTAAATGTCAACTAAAACATTTTCAGATACCTTGGAACTAGATTCGAGACATCCTTTCAAGGCTGACTCTATTGTATACACAGTGACGTCCAATGACCCGGAATCAGATCTACCAATAACCCACACTTTGACCAGCATTTTTCCGATAGGAAACCCCTACTTTTCCGTGGATAGATGTAAGCCGACGCCAAATATGCACAGGGAAGTTATGGGGAATTTCATGGCTTGATTGTTAAACACATGAATCGAGAGTGGTCTGTATTTCTATATAAACTAATAGATGTTAAACAAACTTGTCTACGAAAATGATATTTTTACTCACTCTGATTTAAACTTTAACTAAAGAAACTCTTACAGACCCATGACTACAGCGTATTCGTTTTCACATGATGAAAAAAAATTAAGTAAAATAAAGCAAGAGATAAAAAAAAAACTTAGCCTCCAATGCAAATTACTCCCTATTTCGTTCACCACAACAGACTTTCGACTGAAAATATTTAATTGTAGTTGTATTTTTTTTTCCATTTCTAATGGATCTGCGAGGGAATGTAATTTTTTTTTATTCGTCTTTCAAATTTAAATATTTCTTTGGCCTTAACCGTACACCAAGAATAAAGCCAGGAATGCAAATAAAGTAATTTAATCAATTGACGCTAGAAACCATTTTATTAATGAAACAATCCATTTTTTGTACCTTACAAATAGACTACGACTACTTAATTGTGGGTATTTTCTTAATATATATATATATATATTAGAAAGAAAATTAATAATAACGATTACAAATTAATATTAATCGTATTTATTAACATCTTTGAAAAGTCTTCCCATTTCTTTAAAAAAAAAAGAAAAAAGACATTTGTTATCCGGAAACAGTAAATTGAGAACAGTCAATTTGAAACGTAAACGTGTTAAACTGAGTGAAATGTCAAACGGAACGCACCCTTCCTGGGTACAGGAATAAACATAAATAAATACAGTGATACTTCCTTTTATCCGAGTGTCGGTTTTCCGAAACGTCGGTTATCCGAACTACGAAAACAATGGCAACAATGTACGCAATGGACATGTCAGGAAGCATAAGTGTACAGCAAATACAAGGAAATAAATCCTCACCTTTCGGCTATGTGCAATCCATGGGTTGAACATAAAGGGATAATGCGATATGCAGACTTGTTAACTAATATATATATTACAGAATAAGCGTATGATTTGGAAACGAAGTCTTTCTGTAAAAACAAATGTCAAGTCCTCGCCTGGTTTTTTATACCATTCAGCTGACCGCGAAACACCTTGCTCCATGTACTAACGTCTTCAACGCATCCGTTCGTGGTAGAGTGATACAAGCCAAAAATATGTTACACTAATCAGCCCCTGTCCAAATCGTTTCGGAAACTAGTCACTCTACTGTAAAGGAACAATATTTTGGTGAATGAAAAAAAAAGTTGATTTAAAAAGTAAATCCCCCGAACAGTAAAACGGATGAGTGCTAACGAAGTTGTCCCAACTATGAGAAATAACAAAACACGAAAAGGTCATCTGCTGTGGACAGCAAGACATTGATGAAGATAGTGGGACCTATAGGTATTTCTTTCTTGCCTTCTTGCAGATAACGGAAGTGTTCGCACTAAAATCGACCTTCGCGCAGCTGATGTCAGGGAAGTGGAGCTGCTGATAACTGTTGCTGACAGCAAGGCAAACCATGCAAATTTTACACTCGTTTTGTATATAGGTGGGTACAGCAGTTTCGACAACACATAGTCAGTTTTACTCTAGCAAATATAATTATATAGGTACTGATTTACTCCAGCTTTGACTAACTCTTTGTTAAAAAAAAGATATTTTGGTTAATTAAAGATAATTAAGTCTCCTTCTGTTTATTTAAATTAAAGAAAGCAATGTCGATAGTTTTTTTTGAATATTGGAAGCTCTAAATTTGATCTTTAAATTATAGGAAGTTTATGATTAGTCTATTAAATATATTAATGTCTACATTTGATTTTTTTAAATATAGAAATGTTAAGTTTTATTTTTTTTAAATAAAGGAAAGTCTAGATTTTTTAATTTATATATAAATACGTAAGTTGATTCAGATATGTGATTTTATTAAAGAATATGTTTCCATATGTTATAAAGAGTATTTAAAGACCAATTAGTTACGAATCAAATGTGTTGTTTATTTTGATACTGTTTATTAGAAATAGCTTCTTTAAAGAATCAAATATAAAAGGTATTAATAAATAATACACTTCTCTACAATATGCTTATGCGTGTGTGTGTATGTCTGTCTGCACGCAATTGTGCACCTGCATGTGGGTTTCGTGATATATTATATCCACATCGCTCTCTACAATCTGAAGATGAAGTTTACTTTGTATGGTGGCGCCGACCGTTGCAAAGCTCTGCAGATCATCTTACACAGCGTGCTCCTGCAAACTCTTATTAATTCATCCCACGAGAACAAATGCGTTACGGTTTGATTAAACATACATTTTTAATAGTAATTTTTTTTAGTGAGGATAGGCTGCACACTATCACCCCATGAACTTTGACAATTTCTTTATATCAGCCCAGCAGCCAGCAGTCCTTTCAACGATTTTCATCACGGAGTTACGTTAAGCTGTTCAACACCTATCCTGTTCATTGCAAAGACTCTACCAAAAAGTTTTTCATTTTTAAAAAAAAAAATAATGAACTGCTTTTCATGGATGATATAATCATAATGCCACACACATACATGAATACCATATTTTTGTTAAGTGTCCCTTTTTGACGCCCGAACATAATTTGGACTTACCATAAACCACACGAATAAAGGTGTCTGGTGTCTTGGCGCAAGACTTAGATATCTTGCCCTCATCATTTTCTGGGGTTAGACCCTATCATAATTAAAGGAATGCATTCAAGCTGAGTAAATGAAATAGCAAAACGAGTAATGTGGAAGCTTGAATGTATGGACAGGACAATAAGATTAGAATGTTTTGGCTTAGAGCCTTCTTCAGCACACAGGACACATGAAAATTTAACAAGGGACAGAGCACAGTAAACAACTTAAGAAATATCCATTGTTGTTGCTGGAAATAGGATTACATGAAGTGAGAGAATATAAATATTGACACTGTGAAAAATAAGGTCCAAAATAATAATGGACCAGAATATCCAGGAATACATAAACACACAGCAATAAGAAAATAGTCAAAATACAGGGAAACAGAGAAACATAAGTAGGATAGTATTTGACTAATACCATATGGAGACAAGGTGTCAAACAGCTGAATAAATTTATTTTCCATTTTAACCCTCTTTGGTGTAATAGTGCATGAAATCACTGCCGTAATGGTCACATCCAATGCACCTGTATGTTCATCTCTGTTGAAATGTAAAGAGACTGGGTAAAGTTTACCTTGTTCAAAATACCGAGAAGTCAGGGAAACTATCCGACAATCTTTTCCCAGTTTCACCTATGTAACTAGATTGGCATCTACGGCATACAACCGCATAATATATTGCATTACGGCTGACGCAGTTGAAACCCTCTTTAATGGTAAAGGTACCTTTATGGAGGCTAATTCTTTCAGTTTGAAGTGTAAAGGGACAAGTCCTATAGCATCTTCTTATGCATGGTTAGTACCAAAGTAAGACGGTTCAGATAGAAGGAATAAGAAAATAGTAGAATACAGGGAAACAGAAGTAAGATCTGCCATTCTTCGTACTTATAATACATAATTTTGATGTAGTGAAATTTAAAAAAACAAACAAACAAATGTGTTCAATATACACTGAATAATACAATGACTCCCCCTATCCCACCCCTTCACAACAGTTTTGTATACCAGACCTGATATCACCAACCTACCAGACGTGAAATTCATCAGTGAGAATAAGGCAAAAGACTACCCCATTATAACCCTAACAGCAGCCCCTGACACGTAAGTTTATAGACATTCAGAAGCAGACGTTTAGTTTAAAGGCAAGAAGCAGACAAAGATTTCAGTAGAATCACATTCAGTTGAAAGACATTCAGTTGAAAGACGTTCAGTCGCAAGAAAATTTAGTTGAAATACATTCAGTTGAAAGACATTCAGTTGAAAGACATTCAGTTGAAAGACATTCAGTTGAAAGACATTTATTTGAAAGACATTCAGTTGAAAGACATTCAGTTGAAAGACATTCAGTTGAAAGACATTCAGTTGAAAGACATTCAGTTGACAGACATTAAGTTGAAAGACATTTAGTTGAAAGACTTTCAGTTGAAAGACATTCAGTTGAAAGACATTCAGTTGAAAGACATTCAGTTGAAAGACATTCAGTTGAAAGACATTCAGTTGAAAGACATTCAGTTGAAAGACATTCAGTTGAAAGACATTTAGTTAAAAGACATTCAGTTGAAAGACATTCAGTTGAAAGACATTCAGTTGAAAGACATTCAGTTGAAAACATTCAGCTGAAAGACATTTAGTTGAAAGACGTTCAGTTGAAAGACATTCAGTTGAAAGACATTCAGTTGAAAGACATTTAGTTGAAAGACATTCAGTTGAAAGACATTTAGTTGAAAGACATTCAGTTGAAAGACATTCAGTTGAAAGACATTTATTTGAAAGACATTCAGTTGAAAGACATTAAGTTGAAAGACATTCAGTTGAAAGACATTCAGTTGAAAGACATTCAGTTGAAAGACATTCAGTTGAAAGACATTTATTTGAAAGACATTCAGTTGAAAGACAATTAGTTGAAAGACATTCAGTTGAAAGACATTCAGTTGAACGATATTCATTTGAACGATGTTCAGTTGAACGACAATCAGTTGAAAGACATTTAGTTGAAAGGCATTCAGTTGAAAGACATTCAGTTGAAAGACATTTAGTTGAAAGACATTCAGTTGAAAGACATTTATTTGAAAGACATTCAGTTGAAAGACATTCAGTTGAAAGACATTCAGTTGAAAGACATTCAGTTGAAAACATTCAGCTGAAAGACATTTAGTTGAAAGACGTTCAGTTGAAAGACATTCAGTTGAAAGACATTCAGTTGAAAGACATTTAGTTGAAAGACATTCAGTTGAAAGACATTTAGTTGAAAGACATTCAGTTGAAAGACATTCAGTTGAAAGACATTTATTTGAAAGACATTCAGTTGAAAGACATTAAGTTGAAAGACATTCAGTTGAAAGACATTCAGTTGAAAGACATTCAGTTGAAAGACATTCAGTTGAAAGACATTTATTTGAAAGACATTCAGTTGAAAGACAATTAGTTGAAAGACATTCAGTTGAAAGACATTCAGTTGAACGATATTCATTTGAACGATGTTCAGTTGAACGACAATCAGTTGAAAGACATTTAGTTGAAAGGCATTCAGTTGAAAGACATTCAGTTGAAAGACATTTAGTTGAAAGACATTCAGTTGAAAGACATTTATTTGAAAGACATTCAGTTGAAAGACTTTCAGTTGAAAGACATTCAGTTGAAAGACATTCAGTTGAACGATATTCATTTGAACGATGTTCAGTTGAACGACAATCAGTTGAAAGACATTTAGTTGAAAGGCATTCTGTTGAAAAAACATTCAGTTCAAAGACGTTCAATGAAAGATATACAGTTGAAAGACATTCAGTTGAAAGACATTCAGTTGAAAGACATTCACGTTGAAAGGCATTTAGTAAAAAATATATTCCTTTGTTTTTTGATATCCTTGGTCAAATAACAGTTTTGGGATAAATGGCAATACTATATATGGTCTGGGTGATCAATACACGCTCGCAGTATTTTATGGCTAGTTAACTAGCATTAGCTCACACTCGTCTTGTATACTACATCTAGTTGTCTATTTCATTGCGTACTCAGTGGCGTCACTTAATTTAGTGGCACCCAGTAAACTCAAGGCGTAATGCAAACCAGAATTCTCACCGGACCTCCTCTTTATGTACCTGCTCTGATGACCCCCTGTTCTGGTGGCAGCCTTTCCTTGTGGCTCCCAGCTCTGATGGCACCTTCGCATTTAACATTGATAAGTTATGAAACCAACTTGATCGAGCTTTTTCAATATTGATATGCTTCACTTTGTGTCAATCTCTTGTGATGATGTCAACCGTAAACGAGGTTTTCACCAGGGGCAGTTTGCACCCCCTGTTGACGTCAATGTTCACACTCTAAGCGTCAAGAGATGACCGTGATTTCGAAATTCCTTATTGCAGCAGTAACTAGCAGACATCCCCTTGTTATCAAATAATTTATTAAAATACAATTTTTAAACCTTCAGTGTACACTTATCAAAGAGCTCTTGACCTTTAACCAATCCAGGCCACAGAATCATTATGAAGACATTTGCAGTAAGGTTTATATCTAGAGTGATCATCCTAGTTAGTCTCATGGTCATTGATGAGTTCCTACTTATTCCACAGTGTGAAACCTACCTGGACTTGGACACTAAAAGAACCAGGAGAAGAGTACAAATTCAAACTAGACACCGACAGTATGTATTTATGATGTCTTTTGTATTGCCATTTGGCAGTGGTTTAACAATGGTTAGTGACTTGCAATTTTTTTGCCGTTACACCCCTTTCCGAAAAACGCAAATGTAGGCTTTGAATGGCCCCTCTCAATGTACAGAAAACAGCCCCCCCCCCACCGTGGTGGACCACCCCTCCACCCAAAACCGACCCCTCCACCGTACAGTACATATTTTTGTTGTTGATTTTTGAAACTGTTTTTTTTTTAAAAACGGTCTATGACAAAGTATTTATAATGTTTTTGAACACGTGCAAAATTGCAAATTTCTCTCAGCACATAAAAAGAATTGAAATCCTTTTCATCTTTAGAAAGTTTTTCTTTCTGCCTTAAAAACACATCCCAAATTTTAAGGGGTGTGATTCAATTTGAAAACAAGCCATTAAGTTAAAGGCAAGGTCACACCTGAATGCATACCAAATAAATAAAAGAATCAAAATCCTTTGGTATCAAATATTTATCTTGAAATGACGCAACTAAAGTCATATCCTAAGCCAGACATTAGCAGGTACAACTAGTCTATGGAATTGAATTTATCTCCAACATGAGAGAGTAAACTATAAATGATGTAGCGTAACTAACGACATCGAAAAAGGGTTAAAGCCCCCCCACTCTTCCTTCATCGACAGTAAATACAAAAAACGGTTATTGCATATCCGGTGAATTAAAATTTTCTTTCTCTCATTCCTAGCTGGCAGGTTTACACTAGCAGAAGCCTTGGACTATGAGAAGACCCAGAAGTACACTGTGTCCTTCGTCATATCAGACGGCTACTCGTAAGCAGAGCAACTGAGCTAACACCGCTTGCCTTATGTTTTAAAACATGACAGCTTGTAGAGACAAAATAACAATACATAAAAATAAATGCAAAATAACAAACCTTTCTTTAAACCAAAAAGTACATCTAAAATTTGACAACTATGTGAACTAATTAATTGAACAATTTTTTTTTCTATCTTTTAAAAGTTAATTTCTTAGTTCAAAACGTTCACTCACAGGGAATCCATAGGCGACGAGCTGACTATTAACGTCATCAATGAAAACGAGCCTCCATACTTTGACGAGGTGGTCTACTATTGTTCGCTGGATGAAAGTGATGTAAGGGCCGGAAGTGTTGCATACGTCACTGTAATCATGTCTTGTATTAAAAAAAAAAAAACGCCAATGATAGGATTTTCCCAAACTGCGGTGGGGCTGTCACAGACCTGGGATACAAGAAGACATTTCAGGGTGTTCGAGGAAAAGGTATTTAAGAAGACAGAAGACATCACCTTTTTAACATATGAAAAACAAAGATGTGGGATGCGACCATTCGCCGCAACGCTTTTCGTCGACCCCAACTTATCGACGCCATTTTGCCGCCGGTCATTTTCTTGAAAAAGCGGATAAAAATAATTGAAATTTTAAAAAAAAATGGTCGAGGCGTAGCTAGAGTTGTTGACAAAAGGGGGCAAGGTTAATTTTTAAGCCCCCCACTTATAATTTATGAAACCCATTATGTTCATTCATTAAAAACTATCAAAACCAATGTTGGCACCCCCGTTCGTCTGGCGCCCGGGGACGTATGTTGTGGCGTTTGATTATTTGTTAGTAAACACCAGCTGATTGAAGAACTTCGTCTTTCAAAATTATACGCTGTGAAACAGGTTCTTAAAGAGACTCACACACTTGCCTTTTGATAGTCAATGAGCTTTTCAGGTTTTCGCCACTATACTTTGGCAATGAATCCCACAATGATAATAAGGACATTAGGTACATAAAAACTACAACAACAACTCAGCTTAACAATTTCAGTAGCAACCAGTCGTTGCTGGTGACCATTTCATTAACTTATCCTGTGTCAACAACATTCAAATTATCCGCACTTTGCGCACTCAATGTGTTCTCCCTTATTTAGAATGACTTTTATTTGTATCATGAGCAGAAAAAAAAAGTTATTGAAGATAAACTAAAATAAAAAAGCCAGCCTATGATAAGCCATCTATTGGCATGAAGGCCATCATCTCTGACAAAGTATGCCCTTATTCAAATTTATAAAGAAATATTTTATTTTTCTAGCAACTTTTCATAACCGTTGATACTTATTTATATCCCCATGTTATATATGAACTTATAGCTATTACTTTTTTATTCTTCCCGCAGGCGTCCCTGATTTTTCGGCCCCCCCCTCCCGCCAATAAAAGAAAGCCAGAATCCATATGGAGTACAATAACAAAACAAGTGCCATACGATATCATATTTGCCGGCGTTACTACAGGTCGCACCTTTTCCTCTCGCAAAAAAACCCCTGAAATATGGTGTGCATTTTATGCGTCGGTAACGTAGATATCTTTCCCTTAAAATCGTGTTTTAAAAACGGGGTACGTCTTATGCAACACAGCGTCCTATAAGCCAGAAAATACCCACACATTTACCCACGTTGCTGCCTCTACATATGTGGCCCCTGGCTGTACTTCCCTCTCCACCCCCATCCTACGTCGATTGAATGTGTAAAATAGTAAAATATGTCAGCGATGGTTCCTTATATGGCATGTATCAACTGAGGTATAAGCATTTCGTGTTGCTAAGAAACCATATCTAGCTGTACACTTTGAAAAAAATAATATTTTTTTTTTAAAATCCGTCAACTGCTCTTCTTTCAATGTCGAAAATCAAAAAGATCATTTCGACTTTTTTTTTCCAATAATTTAACACTTTGATTTATGATAAAAATTATGATATAATTTATTATCCTCTGCCACCTTAATTAATCACACACGCCCCCACCCCCCCCCCCCCCAAAAAAAAAAAATGTACTGAACATTTAACGACCCTCTTGGTGCGACACCACCCACTTTGAGAATCACTGTTCTAAATAGTATATTCCTAAACATAACGCGTCTGGTCAAGATGTCTTAACGTCTAAACTAAGTCCATTCCAGCTTGTGGTCTGGGCTTCAGTCCCAACCATAGGTCATTATCAGTATTCCTCAATCGAAGAGGAGGAAAACTCTGATTTCGAACTGGTATGTGTAATATTCCAGTAAATTGTGCAACGCCCATTGTGAATCCTCCACATTTGATGTTCCCTTGGGTTATCCAGGTGCGTGGATAAAGATGATTTGCTCTCTCGGAAAAATGCGTCCGGTTCACAACTAAATTTGTTAAATCACCTACGTCCTAGTTTTGTGAAATTGTATTGCTCTGTACTGTTACGAGAAAAGGAGTTACACGCTTTTAAAAAGAGTCTAAACACAACCTATTATTCAAAATGTAAAAATGTCACAGATGGCAATAAATGATTTTCTTAAAAATATCGCGAGTGCGTTTGTTGCGTCAAGTAAATATATATATATAAATTTGTTTTAGCAATAGCAGCTAGGTAATGATTGTATCGTGTCTTGAAGGCAGGTACAAGCACCTGCAACATTGGTGCACATGTCCAGGATCCAGAGAGGGACGCGATAACGTTCGTTGGATTTCAAGAAAGTGTCAGTAGACATTTTAGGTAAGTTAAAAGTAAATGGAGCTAAATCATAGATATGTATTTTTGGATACAAAGATGACTCATCAATGTGGATATTTTTTTTACCTAAGGGAGGGTGGCATATTTGGGCAAGTTGGACACATTTTTTAAAAAATGCCCTCAAATTTAAATAAAGTAACTTGAAAACGATTCGTAGATCATCTATTAGGATAAACAGGAATACGTGATTCCCCCCCCCCCCCAACCCCTCTCAAAATTACATGAGTTTGGGATTTTCCTTTCTTTAGTTAAAAAAACAAAAAAAATTTTAAAAAATGACCTCAAATTTAAATAAAGTAACTTGAAAACGATTCGTAGATCATCTATTAGGATAAACAGGAATACGTGATTCCCCCCCCCCCAACCCCTCTCAAAATTACATGAGTTTGGGATTTTCCTTTCATCAGTTTAAAAAACGATAAAATAATTAAAGCTTTTAACAATCAACGAATCGTTTGACTCTAATTGTCTTTATAAGTCATATTTGCTTATTCTAAATATATTAGAGTTGTCTGTTGTTTGAAGGAGTTAATTAAAAGTTAAGAGTTATTTCAGGAATAATAATCTTTCGTTTAGATAAAGCAAGTAATAAAAGAAACATGCTCCAGAGTTTAGTAATTAGAATCCCAGGTATAAAAAATCTCAGGGCTTAAAAAAAAACTATTTGATAGAAAGATAAATCAAAATTACTAATTCATATTTATTCATTCTGTGTGATTTATATAAGACTAGATTTTATAATAAAAAAGTTTAAAGTCTTAATATTTTGAGGAAAAAAAAATTGTTGATATGATAAACTTAAAAAAAAAATTTTTTAGTATTAATAATTGTATTTCAGACGCGATCTCATAAAGTGTGTGATTTTAAGATACTTTGCTGTGTTGCATTCAAAGCCGTCCAGGGCTACATGTGGGTTGGAAAACATGTATTAACCGATAACGGGGAAATTCCCTGGAAAATTTAAAAATCTATAAAACTAAACTAACATTTTCATAAACTTTTCCATACCTTTGACATTTTCATAATCTTAATACCTACGAGGAACAATATAGAAATTGCTGGAAAATTATATATTATTTCTTTTAAACGTGAAATACTTTTTTTAAAATGACTCTTTTTGTGTAGTTATTAACTCGAGATTGAACAATCGAACCTCCAAATGTCGTAGCTCCATAGTTTTCCATTTACTCTTAAATAAAGACCCCTAGGAACTTTCTGTTGTGGGAAAAATTAATGATAAATCCCTAAAACATGGACCCTACATAATTCATCAGATAGCTAGCCAAGAAAAATGCTGGCATCCCTTTAAAATTTGTCGAAACATGAAAGAAATAGATAATTTCGTAAAGAAGTCAAATGAAATTAGTATCCATGGTCCCGACACACACGAGAATATCATGAGTTTAAAAACCTTCCAACCTTTCAATTTAGATTTTAAAGCTCATTTGCACCAAGTTTCGTCTAGATCTATCCATTAAATGTATTATTATTTATATAGCTCATAAAAGATGACAGAACTCAATCTTTAAGATTTTACAGCATTATTTTAGATTAGATAACGGGCGAAATTTATTTTAAAAATTGTCCCCTAAAAATCAGTTGTGTATATATTACTGTTTTAAATCCATGGGTATCTTAAAAGGGATAATGAACTCTATTTCTACCAAGTTTGGTGAAGATGAAAATATTTATGTGCAAGTTTTGATTCTTATCTAAGCCTTCGTGTTGCTTTTGGCAATTATTAGAAAAAATACATTGTACAACTTCCTCAACTCATTTGGAAAATCAAATGAGATTTCGAAACATTTGAGGAGCGCTAAATAATTATAAAGACAAAAGAAGTATAAGAAGGATATTTTAAACACTAACGAGTCAATATCTCATGTCAGTAAAAAATATCCAAACAAAGTTATTATTTTTTGAATTTAAACATGTAAATTATATATTTTTAAAAAAATGTTATCTACCATGGGCATAAATTGTTAAAAGAGTGTAACAAAAGATGCTTTATAGACCTTATATCCTTGTGAAATGGTTTTCACTTAATGTTGATTTTGGGTTAAATCACAAATTTGAGATTTCACTTTTCAACATAAATCTAGGATATAAAAGGTGTAATAAAGATGCATAAAAGAAAACTTTAACTTTAAATCTCTGGGTACCCAAAAGTACCCTTTAATCACACACCTGAACGATTGGATAATTCTAATGTACTAGTTTCTGAAAGCACGTGGAATAAAGCTTTAGTTACTACTAACTGGGACATCGCCACCATGCTGGGCGTGTGAAATACTGGGAGAGGTGAATAATCTATAACAATATGTCTTCATATATCCACCAATTTTTAGTTGTATTGACTCTATATGTGTGCATTTTTGTGCATTTTGTGCGTATACGTGATCTAGCGCTCGACAGGGGAAGCAGCTAATGATAGCGCATCACTGTGCGCGTGAGAGCGGGGTGGACATCATGCACTGGGCAATTGTTATTATATATTATGCGAACGCCAAACAGAAGCGCAGCGAAACCATTCATATCTTGGGTGCGTATGAAAGCGCAACATTCTGAATAAATTCTTTAAAAAATTTCGTACACCAAAAATAACTTAACTTGAACGTCCCTCATATCTATTAGAAGTCTTTACCCTCTTAATTTTACCAATTTTTTAAATCACAGCTTTTAAGATAATGAGATTACGAGCAAACTTCCCAGGAACCATCGATATCTCATAAGGAATTAACATGTCAAAATTTGGTTGCGATCCATTGTTTGGTTTTCTAGTGTCTGATCGACCCATTTACAGAGAAACATAGTCAAACTGAGCCTTATAAAGAACAAAAATGTTTTAGAAATGTAAACTAGAGCTTTCCATTTTTAAAGATATGATATGACGTCATCAGTAATAACACTGAGCGAGTACGACGTAGATGTGCAGCTGGACAAGCTGACCTATCATCTCGTGGCGAGAGACTCGCAGGGAAATCAAAATAAAGCAGCAGTACCTGTTCATATAACTGTGCGTGATGTGAACGACAACACTTGCACCATTCCACCGGTAAGGTAACATATATATTTACTATACACCTGGTAAGGTAACTGACATTATAACTTCCCATCACTACACAAAGTAAGCTAAAATAAATTTTTACTTGCCATAACATATAACCTGCTATGGTAACATATGATCAACTTGCCATCTCTACACCTGGTAAGGTAAAATACATACTTCCTACAACTACACTTGGCAAGGTAAGAGACACATTTACTTTCCATCACTCTACGGGTGAGGTAAATTAGAGAGTTACGTAAATCTGCTGCAATCAAACTTCCCGTATGATAACAGCAACCAATTCTTAATGTCCTCTACAAACTGAAGGTAACAACACATAATAAAACCTGGAATTACTCTATCTCAAGACTAACAACAATAAGACACTGCTAATAACGCACTTATAATTTATAACCTACCTTAACTAAAATACCACTTTTCTATTATATCACTCAAAATAATCTAAAATTTAATTCTACATGAAAAGTATCACGCAAAGTAATAAGCAAATTTCGTCATTTTGGTAACTAATATAGTTAGCTTCCATTGCCGATAAGCTAATGATTACTTCATTTGTAATGGTAACCAAAGTCAATCAATGCGTTTACTCCACCAAGAAGGTAAAAATTACAACGCCATGAAATCATTCTACCTTCTAACAAACATCTTTAACCTAGCAGGAAAGATACAATTTTTAATTTCCTAAAATCGTCTTATGACTGAAGGAGTCTTCTAAATATGTCACATTGACAAATGGCATCAGCGGGCCGTCTAGCGTAAACTCTTAATGCCCACCCTGACACACCTCCCCATCTTCTAGACGCCGGGTCTCTATACCCTTGACTGAGCGTGGCACGCCAGGGGCCTCCCCCGAGCTGGACCTCCCCCACCCGCAACCGTTCGATCGGTCATGCTGATGAAGGCTTTTTCCGCCCGGGTAAACCGGTCGACCGAAACGCTGTGCTTAGCGTTCGCAGCCGACTCTCCCGGGGAGTTGGAATGGTACATTAAAATCCTTATATCTTCCTTCAATAATCTAAGAGAAGCGTCGGACGCCCTTTAAGAGGGGTTCTACATAGGGTTTCCACCCCGCTCCTAGTTTGCAAAGTAGCTGGGACGAAACGGTTGCCTAGGAGCAGCTTTCTCAAGGCTGCGTAATTTTAATCATCGGCTAGAGGCTTCCACCTTAGTTTCTCGCCTTATATTTCATTAGCGGAAACTTGTAATCATGATCCCTACCTTGTCTCTGCCTTTGTTTCCTAATGTGAAATGTTGGCTGCCCTGTGGGTGCTGTTTTTATTCCGGCATGTACAATGCATAACCCTTGTCTGTCCACGGGGGGAGGGGGGACGAATTGGTCGCCGTGTTCCCTGGGTAACGCCAAGAGGTCCCGTGACCGGCGCCTGTTAATCAACAAACCACTACAGACTTGTTGACCTGAGCCTCGGTGCTGGAAGTAATCTCTCGAACTCAACTTTTTTAAAACCTAGAATCAGCAAGCGCGTATCTTCGTATCTCAGTACACAACATGCTTTTCATGTGGGTTAATTTACGTTAGTTTTGATGTTTGGCTCAACCATAGACAACGACTGTACAACTGAGTGAAAATGACAAGCCAACGAGGAGGGTTTTTAAATTTATTCAATCTGATCAAGACAAAACTGCGCCCAACAACGAAGTCCTGTTTGATGTGACACAGAGCGTGCCAGACGAGGCCAACATTCATTTTGCCGTGGCGACAGATGGATCAGTTAACTACATAGGTAGTGATTAATTATTACATTAATATTTATTATCCGCCCAATTTTTGTATTAATATTTATCATCAACAGTGTAAAAATAGTGTTCTTGGCCTCTATCAGTCGGTTTTAAGTATTTAATAATTTTTATGGACAGTCAGTAAATTTCATGGATTATACATTATGTATATATTATTATAATGTATTCTTCAATTTAGCTTCAGGAGAAGCCTTTGTGGCAATTCATCACCCTTGACCTTTGTTTTCTCAGAGCAAATTCCTGAAACTAATAACGGCAAGACATACAGGCTGGTGGTCAGATGTCGAGATCGCGGGATACCACAACGGTCAGCAGAAGGGACCATATTTTTCGTCTATCAATTATCCACGTCTACCACCACAACGACCACAACCACCCCGCCAACCACGGCTGCGGTGGCTACGAGCACCGATCCGTTCGACAACCCAGCGTTTGTGGCGATATTCGCCGTCTTCATGATCGCTTTGGTAATCGCCCTGCTGGTGGGATTGTACTTCTTGCTGCGATACTGTGGATCCCTTCACTACTGCTTCGGTATTGGACCGACGCCGAAGAAAACCCGAGTAATGGACATCAGTGAATACAGCAATCAATCCATAGTGAAGTCAGTAGTAGTGGCTTGAGGCTTGTTTAATCTTATAAGATTTAGATATTGCGGCAAATACACGTTTAGGAACAAGAGTTGGGGGGGGGGTCTGGGGTGAACATAGGGGCTGCCTGTTTCACCTACTCTTATATTTGGTGATAAAAGATGAACTTGGAAACATTTTTAGAAGGCTAACATAACAATCGTTTTTATCGTCCTGTTTAACCTCAACCCCTTTTTTTCAACACTTCTTTTTCCGCGTATCGCATTAAGCTACTTGGAGTTTTGCTGTGAGCCCCAAACATAAAAGGGTATTTGAGAAAAGGGTCGTATTGAGGGGTGGGGGTCTTATCCATAATGCCAGTGAGTAAAAAGTACTAAGAATTGTTGGTTTGTCCCATCTTTAGTTAGTGGTTCTTTAAACTCTGATGTATTGAGGCTCATTGCCATTGATCTACACCCATGGGTTACAATAGTGATAAACTTTATTTCCTAATGATTAAAATATTTTCTTTTATCTAAAAGTAATTAAAGAACCACAATCGTCAGAGTTTCGGAGGCTTCCAAAAGAATTCCCCACTATCCATTCCACACGATCCATCTCTCGGTTATATCCTTTCGTATCTATCCCTTCGTATCCATCTCTTCCTATCCATCTATCTCTATCCATCTTTTTCTATTTATCCCTCCCTAATCATACCTCCCTATTTATTACCTCACCTTTACCTCCTTATCCATCTCTAGCTATCCATCCCTCCCTTTACATTTCTTCCAATCTATTCCTCCCTATCAATCCATCTTAACCAATTCCTTTTTATCTATCCCTCCCAATCCATCCCTATCTATCCATCCCTCCCTATCCATTTCTCCCAATCCATCCCTTCCTATCCACCCCTCCCTATCCATCCCTCCCTATCCCTCTCTCCCTATCCATCCCTCCCTATCCATCCCTCCCTATCCATCCCTCCCTATTCATCTCTCCCTATCCATTTCTCCCTAACCATCCCTCTCTATCCATTTCTACCTATCCATCCCTCCCTATCCAACTCTCCCTATCCATACCTCCCTATCCATTTCTCCCTATCCACTCTTTCTACCCACTCCTCCTACCAATTCCTTCTACCCACTCCATCCATCCCTCCCTATCCATCCCTCCCTATCCATCCCTCCCTATCCATCCCTCCCTATCCATCTCTCCCTATCCATCCCTCTCTATCCATTTCTACCTATCCATCCCTCCCTATCCATCTCTCCCTATCCATCCCTCCCTATCCATTTCTCCCTATCCATCCCTCCCTATCCATCCCTCCCTATCCATCTCTCCCTATCCATTTCTCCCTATTCATCCATCCCTATCCATTTCTACATATCCATCCCTCCCTATCCATCCCTCCCTATCCATTTCTCCCTTTGCATTCCTCCCTATCCATCCCTCCCTATCCATTTCTCCCTTTGCATTTCTCCCTATCCATCCCTTCATATCAATCCCTCATTAACCATTTCTCTCTATCCATCCGTCCATAGCCATTACCACCTATCCTCCCCCCCCCCACTACCTATTCCTCAATATTCCTTCGTCCCTGACACTAATGATTCAATTTTTCAGCTGACTATGTTAAAATTGTTCGCAGCCGTTTAACAGGTTCAGAAGTTCACTTTTTAAACAATGGTATAAATTCCTCTTCAGACTTACCATATGTGTCACTGTTCCTGATAACATTTTAGTCAGAAAGTTTAATGAGTTTAAACAAACTTTTTAGCCAACTTAAGGGATTACATAGTTCGTCTCAATTGATAAGGGCATGATGACATTATACATGGTTTATAGACAGCATTAAATTGAATTTGATTTTGTAAAATTTTATTACACCAACAACGACAACAAAAAAGTCAATACACACTTCTAACACTGTCTACATTTCATTTCAGTTATCCGCCAATTCGAACAAACATGGCTTACAACGATGATTACTGGAAGAACGGTTGGTAACCAACAAATATTTCTTTAAAAAAAATTTTAGACAAACTTTAGCTGCAGTAATTATTCATATAGCACATCGGTATTACTTGTCCTTAAGTTTTTAAACGCATTTTCTACTTTTGTAGTGTGTTCGAAATTACGTCATTTGATTCGTAAGATGATGGGGAGGACATGCACGGGACCTAGTCAGTCGATTCGTAGTCAAAAAGGAAATGAGTAAATCAAAGTATGGGAATATCCGAAAAATGGAACGTAACAAAACTACAAACGTTTCGGCACGAAGACTTTGTTAGGGAACAAAAAAAAAATAACAAAAAAAAAAAAAAAAAAAAAAAAAAAAAAAAAAAAAAAAAAAAAAAAAAAAAAAAAAAAAAAAAAAAAAAAAAAAAAAAAAAAAAAAAAAAAAAAAGGAAAAGAGAAAAAAAAAGTATGGGAAAAACCAAAAAAAGGAACGGAACAAAACAACAAAAGTTTCGGCACGAAGACTTTGTTAGGGAAAAAAAAAAAAAAAAAAAAAAAAAAAAAAAACAAACAAAAAAATAACAAACAAAAACACAAACAAAAAACAACGACAGAAAATAGCAACTAAACTAAAAAGTAGTATCCGAGAGGGCAGCAAAAGAATTGCGAGATCTTTTTTCGGGTTTTTCCAAACTTTATGTCACTCACTTCCTTTTTTTGCTAATCTGAATGCAGTCTCTCCCCCTCTTATTACGATTCGTAATGATCGGAAACCTAGTGAGTCAATTCGTAGGGAGTTGGGCGAGACCTAGAGTGACAATACATAGGGAGATGGGCGAGACCTAAAGTGATAATTCGTAGGGAGTTGGGCGAGACCAAGATTTACGATTCGCAGGCAGTTGGGCAAGATATAGAGTGACGATTCGCAGGGATTTCGGGATCAACTCGGAAAAAGAACTCGAGGTATAATTCGTAGGGAGATGGGCGAGACCTAGCGTTATAATTCTTAGGGAGTTGGACGAGACCTAGAGTGATAATGCGTAGGGAGTTTGGCGAGACCTAGAGTGATAATTCGTAGGGAGTTTGGCGAGACCTAGAGTGATAATGCGTAAGGAGTTGGGCGAGGCCTAGAGTGATAATTCTTAGGGAGTTGGGTGAGACCTAGAGTGACGATTCGCAGGCAGTTGGGAAAGATATAGAGTGGCGATTCGCAGGGATTTCGGGATCAACTCGGAAAAAGAAATCAACAACGGCACTCTGATGGCTGGGACTCATCAGCCTTGGATGGTCGTTCATTCAAGAGAATGAAAACTTCGATTGCTAATCTCCACAGCGACAGTCTCAGCAAGCCGGCAAGGGAAACAAATTACCAAAGTCAACGGATGTATAGCCCAATGTACCACATATCACAAAATGTACTAAATATCACAAAATGTACTACATATCACAAAGTGTACCAGATATCACAAAATGTACCACACATCACAAAATGTACCACATATCACAAAATGTACAACATATAAAAAATGTACCACATATCACAAAATGTATAACATATGAAAAAATGTATCACATATCACAAATGTACCACATATCAAAAAATATAACAACATATCACAAAATATAACCACATATCACAAAATATAACCACATATCACAAAATATAACCACATCACAAAATATACCATAAATTACGAAAGGTACGGCTGATCATCAAATGTTCGGCAGATTGTCAAACGTTCGGCAGATCATCAAATGTATCTCACATTGTTTTCATACTGGTACAAATGGAAAGTGCAACCATATAGACGTGTTTACCACTTTTTTTAAATCCAAGTCCTATCAGCTCCGTGTTCAAGCTGTTTTGATGTTCATACATTTTTGTCAATTTTTTTCATTTTTAATTATTTTTTTTTTAACACAGGTGATAATTACGAAACAGGTACCGGTAATGCAATCCCATCAAGTTCAAGGGTGATGAATGGAGGATTCAAACGCCTGGCACTTCCGGCCCCCGCTGTAAGCAGAGGGTTTAACTTCTGAGACCAGTGAAGTTCTCACAAAGGACAGGCAAAGAGCATTGTACATTATAAGTCTAAAGGAGGTGGCACATTTAATATAACAAAAAAGTGAGAGATAGAGCGATAGAGACATAGAGAGAGAGGGAGAGAAAGAGAAAGCGTGGGAGAGAAAAAGAGAGAAAAAGAGAGAGAGAGACGCCTCTGGATAATAATGATACTACGTCTTTTTGTGTTACAGTTTATTATTTTTTTCATTTAGCTTAGCCTTTCTTAATGAGTTAAAATATAGCCTTTCATAGTGACTTAATGTTAGCCTTACATAATGAATTAAAGTTTAGCCTTATATAATGAATTAAAGTTTAGCCTTATATAATGACTTAAATTTTAACCTTACATAATGACTTAAAGTTTAGCATGAAAAAAATGGTTTGTAGATGTATTCGAAAAAAATATTATTTATTTACATGTTAATTTCTCAAAATGTGCATGGCTTCACCCAACAATATTTTTTTTCTTCATTAAATTTCACTGTGAGTTTTATAAGTTTTGATATTGTCCTCACTTTTTTTCTTCATTTTATGAGTTGCTTTGTCATTAACAAATAGTTAATGAAACAGGTTGTTTACATTAATATTAAGAAAGCCAATGATTTATAGAGTACACCCATGTGAGATTGGCATCAGCATACGGTTACCAAATTAAACAAGGAGTCAAGGTTCTCGTGCTAGAAATGCAGCCGAGAATAATCTTGTAGGATTGGCCTCGTAAACAATTTGATGCAGTGTCAATAGCTACTCCATCGTCTTGCGGAGACAGAAGAATGGCAAATATGTTTTAAGGCCAGAAATGAGTTTCTAAGCATCATGTTTTGAAAGCTATTTGATATGGCCATATCAAATAAACATGTGGACTACCGTTTCAAATATATCTGTTTAAACAGAATATTCTTTTTTTTTTTTTTTTTTTTTTTCTTTTTTTTTTTTTTTAAACTAGAAGTAGTCAAATAAATAGTGATACACTGAAAAGAATGTGAATCAAAGACTAAAATGTTTTAATATATCTTCATCGAATTATAATACAAACTTTTAAATGTATGTATTTTAATTACAATATTAATACATCATGACGTTTATTGCAGGGCATTTTTTGTTAATATTGGTGGAACTATGTAATCTATAAAAAAAAATAATGTAAAAGAGTGATATGAAAACATATATCAAAATTTAACACATGAATATCGTTAAAAGGGTCACGTGTTAAAATATTTTTTTTTTAAAAAATCAAACATTAAAAATATTCGACATCGGAGTATTAAATAGTGCCCAATTTTTCTCCGACTTGCAACCATGTTACGATACGTATCTTGTTTTAAAATATGATCACACTGAGACAAGTGAACACCTCTTCATCTTTACATATTTCTGTTTATATTATTAAAAAAAATACTCTTGATCACACTTCCATTTTTTTTGGGACAATTTTTTGCCGTGGTTTAACGACGTTAGGACAGCTTTTCAACCAATGACCTTTACTGACATCCAGTGATGCTGTGTGCACCAGTGCATGAAGTTCATTGGAAAATGTCTGATTTTTGATTAAAGTTGTTCCGCGGTTGAGAGCATTGTATACATACGTATACGATATAATGTATAAAATACACGTGAAAATGAATTGTATAATGCCTCACTTGTTCGTATTAAAATGAGTCTAATGGTAATTAGTACGCACATTTTATTGCACATTTCGTATGGTAAAGTGAATTTTGGTATATTACTTATTAATTCTTCCTTTCCACTGCCCAAAATTTCTCCTTGGCCCTGCACCATTATGGTGCTTTTACTGTGTGCCTTGTTATGTATTTATATCTATATTGTATTATGTATGCTCCCGTATAATTAAAAATGTTTCACATATTTATCAATTACAAATCACCTATTAAAACAACGTACTGAAACAAGACCGCAAAAAAACCCACTAAAAATGTAGTTAAAAGGAAACTAATGTTTTATTTACCTAAAATATGTTTACAAACTACTTCAATTAAAAAGATTTAGATTTTTAGACACATCTTTGATTTATTTTCATCATCTCAAAACAATACTTGTCACATTATCACTCCAAAAAAATACATACATTCAAAAAATAATGCTTGGCACATATCACTTCAATAAAATATACAAAAAAAGATAAATTAAAAACATAGAATAAAATCATACATTTAAACACGATACTTCACATATATCACATCAATAAAATATAGAATATAAAAAAAAAATTAAATTTAAAATATAACACTTGACACAAATCACGTCAATAAAATAAAAACAACAACATACATTAAAACAAATCTTAACTTAAAGCAATTCAATAAAATATATAATACACACATTTAAACACCACACGAAATAACACAAAGGAACCATGTTGTAAACTTCGAGTAAAAGGTTACTTCACATCTTTAACTTAATGTGTGGCTCACACTAATTATTATAGAAACAAACAGCAAGAAAGGAATAATTTCAAGCTTTTCAAGTTGGTCAATGTCATGTTACTTGGGCGTCTTCTTTAAAATGAACATAAATTGATTTTAATTTTAAAAAAAAAATGTTTCGAGTTTTTATTCTAAAATGTTTAGCTTATGAATTCAAAAGTTCAACCTTTTTTTCAAAATGATACTATGACAGCTAAGGGTGTAAACAACATTAAATAACAGGAAAATTTGATTCAATATTTTAGCTTACTATTATGTTGTTAGCCTAAGTAATTAAGTCAATAAAAGACTAAACATTAATTCCAGCCTGTGTTTCTCAACCTCAAATATACTGATACTTCAACAAAATATTATTTTGGAAGGTTATAAGTGTGTTTTATCAGTGTCTGGGGGTAAATTATCGATATTTCAATATAAGGGCGTAAGCAAAAATGGGAGGCCTTGAACCTTTAAATTGTAGATATGAAGGGGCGTTGGGAAAATAGCCCTGGGAAAAAAATGACATAAATTTTTATTTTAAACTGTACTTGCTAACTAGTCACTAAGATCCATGGTCACTACAAACATTGTAAGGAATAATATGTTAACGTAACAATGTTAAGTAGCTGTGGTGGAATTTAAGTTTAGCCGTTGAGATAGGACTGGGGTTTAGGATGGAATCAATCGTCAATCTACTCCTGTTGTCCACGTCAGTCCATCCAGCTGTTGATGAAGTCGTTGATTAAAGCCTGCTTATGGCTGTCACTTAGACAACCCATGACAAAATCTCCGTTGAAGTTTACCATGTCGTGTTGGTTCACATTTGGGGATGACGTTACGGCTGCTGTGAATGAATTTGATGGCATTGTTTTTTTGAGGGATGGCGTGCCAGACATAAGGTTGGCTTGTGCCTCTCCAGAAGATGTTGCATGCCGAGGTTTACTTATGAGTGTCGGTATGCATGCCGAAGATGACGAGGTAAACTGAGAGGTGGACTGGCTACTGACGTCATGCAGTCCACTCACACGGTGATATCCATTGAGGGCTCCTCTTGCCATCGGCTGCACTGTGAGTTGTACGTTATTGTGTGCGTCATTTGAACCACAAGTATAAGGGGCAACGAATATTTGAGCACCAGGAACTGAAAGGTGTCCGTATGTCTGAGTAAAAGGTTTTTGGTTCATTTGGTGAATCCTGAAATGAAAATAAAATATGCATGTGTTATTTATTTTGATATTAAATAAAATTATTAAAAATTAGAAAATACAATTTTTAAAATAATATAGTTATTTTAATAAATTAATTTATTTCAGTACAATAAAATACATTTTAAATGTCAACTTACTTGTTGTTCTGATGATACATGTTTCCATTTCCATAAAGATGTTGTTGCCGGTTACTGACATCTACCAACGTGTTACTGCCCTGTGGTACATTGGGGTAGCTCAACTGGTAGTTTCTGCTGGGGCTGGTCTCACCATATGGTACTTGTTTGCCTCCACCAAGAAAATGAGTATGTCCAGTAGTGAGATCTTGTGCTGGGCTTTGAGACATTTTCATGTCTACATTTTCAACGATATTGTTACTACTCTCTCCCTTATGTTGTTCGGAGACAGGCTCATGAGATTGTGAAGGTAACACTTGTAAGTCAGGGTCAATGCCATTGTCTTTTAACTTTTTTCTCAGAGCTATAATTAAATCAGTAGCAGTGCTTATGGTGTACATGGTGGAATCTCTCTTGTGGTTGGGCACGTTAGGGTTAAAGGGCAAATTGAGATTTTTGAGTCGTTGAATGGCTTGTGCAATCTGCTTCTGTCTAAGTCTTTCCTGAAATTAAGTTGAAAATTAAATAATGAATTAGATTTATTAACAACACATTGAATCAAAATTATACCAGGACAACATGTTGCAAGCCGAGGTTTACTTATGAGTGTCGGGTTGCCTGCCGCAGTAGACGAGGTAAACTGAGAGGAGGATTGGTTACTGACGTCATGCAGTCCACTCACACGGTGATATTCAGTGAGCGACACAATAATATGATCAGTAAAAGATCCAAGAAAATGGATAATATCGTAAAAATAAGTATTTCCAGAGCTTCTATTGTAAATCCTTCTTCTTTTTGTAGCAGTTGTTTTTTTTTTAAAATTTAGATTCTTTTGCCTTTTTGTGCAGAATTTATATTTCGATATCGAATTATTGTTAAAAAATACTGAAATATTTATAATGCCATACGTTTAAAAATAAAATTACATACATCTTTACAATAAATTAATAAATTGGCATTTCATACCTATGCTAAATTAAATAAAACAAACTTCTATATAATGAAATAAAAATTTGCAGGTGATTAATATATTAGGAAATAAAAGAATATTTCAATTTTTATTTTTAGTTGTATAATTTATCAACAAATGTTAGTGTTCTGACCAATGAGTCCATGACATAAGCTAATATGGTTATTTTTAACTAGATATGAAAACAGTTAAATAGTAAAACAAGGGAAAACAAAGTTATAGCAAAAATTTACATTAAATAAAAAAAATTAAAGTTTGTCTACTAAAGTAATTAGTTACAAAAATGTTAAATTCAGCTCATTAGATTCTCAAGCAGAACTGAGAATTTGGAAATTGTACAACTGCCCTGCTTACTATCGAGATCTTGGTAAGTGGAATGCAATTCGTGGTATCACTGCATAAATCTTCTCTCAGCGATTGGTAATGAACATTTATTTTATGTGAGTCAAACGCTTTTTTCAGTCACATGACTTTAGTTTTCTAGGAAATGGATTTTATAACTTTTAGTAAATTTTAAATAAGTGTGTTTTAAACAAAAATGTAACTTTCATATTTAACGTTTGATTCTAATATTATTTTTTAAACTTGTTTTGTTACATTTTTTTTATTTTAGATTTGTGCTACTAGCATTTTTTTACCAGCAACAAGACGGTTTTCTAACAAACGTACACACTTGACCCAAAATAAAATGTTCATAAAAGTCCGTAAGAAAATTTCAATGACACTAAAAAAATGAC